AGTTCAAATAGTGTTCCTTGGTCAACTTTGAGGAATTCTTGGTCCCAAACAGGAATATCATCTGTTCGCTTTTCTTTGTTCTCATCATCCTCAGGAGGAGGAGGGTCATCCCTGTGGTGGGTGCACCACTGAATGAGCTTTTGTAATATTGCTGCATCAACATTTGGTAGAGGAACTGGGTCATCATCACCTTCATCATCCATTCCCAAATCTTCTAACATGGTCTTGATAGTCACAGATTGTTTGGCAGTTTCAACATCAACTTCAAATATCTCTCCATCAGAACTCTGCAACTTAATTGAAGGCATGGTGCTTGGTCTCAAGGAGAGAGCGGGCCGGAGGCTGACGAGATCTGGGCTGCATCAGCAGAAGGAAAAAGGTGGAGAACACGGCCACTTACCCAGGTTCTGTGTTTTATGGTCTGGTTACTTCTGTATTTATACCAGTTGAATTTAATCCTATCAATTTCTATTCCAAAGGTTAGGGCATTTCTTATCTCCAATCCAGGGAGTAAAGATTATGTAGCTTAAGCATGATTGTTCGTAGTTAAAGTGATTAACTACCCACCTGGCACTTAGTTAAGGGGTTTTATTCCCTCCCTGACTTCAGGGAAAAATCCCTACCTGGGGAAACAACCTTTCTCAGAGAGGTGACCTTGGTTAAAAGACATAGCACTAAGAAGGGGAGAAAACATATTAAGAACAGGATGCCATATACGCCAGGTCCCTTGAAACATATGCTGTGCAGATGTTTCTTCCCTTCAGCGACTGCGTCAAGCAGCAAGGATGGACCAGCTTCTGGCATTACCATGTTGGCTGTGCCTTTAAAGTGAACATGCTCACTGAAATGGGCGACATTTCATCACAGGAAATGAAACCACGTGATATAAGAAAAGAGGCTGCAAAGAGAAAGTTTGGTCTTTTCCCTTGGCATGGGGACTATTAGACGATATACAAGTAGCTATTCTTTTAATGAGCCAAGAAATTGGCTATCTGTGTGCGGGAATGAACTACACTGAGATTTCTGTGGCCATGTCTGACGTCACACCCAGGCCCCCTGCCCTGGGCCACAGGGGACCTGGGACGTCTGCGGTCCCACCAGCTTGTAACCCACATCTGCAAGGGCCTTTCCCGGCACCCAGAATGCCACATTTAGAAACATCTAAGCATTTATGAATAAAGGACTGGAAGCTGCCTGTGTTGGTGCCTCCTTCTGGCATGAGTCACCGTATAAGGTGTTCCAAATGTTCACACCGTTTCCTCTGGATAAATGGGTTCAATGAGGTGGTTTCATGTCTGTTCTGTATGAAAATGACCACTTTAAAGTTAAATTACTTGTGCTGAGTCCATGGGGAGGGAGAAAGGCTGAAAGTGCCTTGAACTCTGTGTACGCAAGCATCACTGAACTCTGGGAAAATATTTGGCCACACGCAGAAAGAACCAACACCAATAGGGCCCGTGGTGGCATTGAAAGGAATCCTTATGTTTCTTCTCACAGCTCCATCAACTGGATGCTGCCAATGAATTTAAATGTTATTTTTTCAGAGCAAATGGATACAGGACTCATCTCCAACTGTGCTTGAATTCATCGAATTTTCCCCCATCCTTCAATTCTTACAGACGCCTGTGTGGCCCGCTCCTCGATGATGCCGTTTCATTGGTGGGGCGTCTGGTGCACACACCCTCATGCTATCCTGTCCTTATTTCCCTCACAGTCTCCCGGGAGAAACAGACACATGGTTTCTGGGAGAAAGGTGAGGTAAGGAAGTTTTGCCCAAGGATGGTCACCTGTTTTCCAGGACACCAGTAGCATTGAATGCCCTTGTGAGTGGAATTTGAAAATAAAATGAGTGCACTTGTGGGCCATGCTGATCCAATCAGTATTCGGGTTAAAGAGTGAATGTATCCCAGTGGTTCTCAACCTGTGGGTCGCGACCCCTTTGGGGGTTGAACGACCCTTTCACAGGGGTCGCCTGAAACCATTGGAAAACATATATAATTGCATATTGTTTTTGTGATTAATCACTATGCTTTAAGTATGTTCAATTTGTAACAATGAAATTGGGGGTCACCACAACATGAGGGACTGTATTAAAGGGTCAGCATTAGGAAGGTTGAGAACCACTGAATCCCCTTATCGGGAAACCACCTGGGAACTGGGCACGGGCAGAGCTCCGCTCATACATGACGCTCAGCAGGATTGTCATCAGTGCCAGCTTTAAACATTGGGAAGTCACATTCAGACCTCCCGTTTACAATGTGGAACAGCGTCTACTCCCTTCCTGACATCTGCCTTTGGAAAGGTTTCTAGTCACTTCCACTCACCGAGAATCCACCCATTTCTTGACATGAAGATTTTGTTGGGCAGTTACACAATCTCTTCAGAGTGTACCACAGGCAACAGAAACTTATCAACCCCCCTGTCCATTGTGTTAGCATGGGAGAGAATGCAGGGAGAGGCTCCCCCCTTCTTCCTCCATCCTCCCTCTCTTCCTTCTTCCCTCTCCTTCTCTTCATTCCCTTCCTTTCTTCTCTCTCCCTCTTTTTAAAAATATCGGCCTGCATGGAGTGGGCCTAAGCTGGCAGTTGGACATCCCTCTCGCAGTCTAGGATCCCTTGCTCCTTACCCTCTGCCTGCTCACTGCTCCTTACAGTTTGGCTGTCTGCTCTGCTCACCAGCTGTGAGCCTGGCTTTTGGCTGAGCAGCACTCCCCCTGTGGGAGCGCACTGACCACCAGGGGTCAGCTACTGCATTGAGCATCTGCCCGCTGGTGGTCAGTGTGCATCATGGTGACTGGTTGTTCTGGTCGTTCTGCTATAATGGTCACTTAGGCTTTTATTATATAGACTAGGGGCCCTCGAGCATGAATTCGTGCACCTTGAAAGGAACTGTGTGCCACAAGGCTGTAGTGGGCACAAGGGTGGGTCTCGGCCCATCCTCCATGCCCCTGCCTGGCCCCTGCTGCCATGGCCCCCAGTCCCATGTGCTGGCAGCCCTGCTCCCACCACCCTGCTCCCATGGGCTTATGGCCCCACACACTGACATCGCCAGCCCCGCTAGCACCTGCTGATGGTGCAGAGCAATTGGGGTCAGTGCCATCAGCGAGTGCAAGCAGAGCCAGCACCGTTAGCGGGTGAGAGCAGTAGCTCTGGCACCAGCAACGGGTGCAAGCAGGGCTGTCACTGGCAGCGGGTGTGAGAGGCAGCTGCTGGTCCTGATCGCCCCTCAGGAGCAGGGGGAGGTGGAGAAGCCCTGAGGGGCAATCAGGGTCAGCAGCTGCCACTCGCACCCACTGACGGTGCAGAGTGATTGGGGTCAATGCCATCAGTGAGTGCAAGAGGGGCCAGCACCGTCAACGGGTGTGAGCGGTGACTCCGGCCACCAGCAGCGGGTGCGAGCGAGCAGAGCTGGCACCGGCAGCAGGTGCAGCTGCTGGCAGCACATGCGAGTGCTGGGCAGGATCTCGGCCTGCAGGAGCAAAGAATTTTTAGTAACCACCAGAGGCTCACCCTGATGACAGTGACCGGTGCCCCGCCTTGGCCTGGCGCCCCCGCTCACCTGCTCCACCATCCCGCTGTGGCCAATGCCCACCATGTTCTTTGCTTTGCCACCTGCTACTGACATCTGCCATGTTCTGTGTGTGCCCCCTGGTGGTCAGCACACATCATAGCGACTGCTTGTTCGGTCTATTGGCATATTAGGGTTTTATATATATAGACTAGAGGCCCGGTGCACGAAATTCGTGCACTGGGGGTGGGGGGAATCCCCCAGCCCGGCCTGTGCCCCCTCACAGTCTGGGACCCCTTGCTCCTTACTACCCACCTGCTTTCTGCTCCCTACCACTCGGCTCGCTGCCGGTGCACGATCGTGCACTGGGGGTGGGGGGAATCCCCCAGCCCGGCCTGTGCCCCCTCACAGTCTGGGACCCCTTGCTCCTTACTACCCCCCAGCTTTCTGCTCCCTACCACTCGGCTCGCTGCTCCTCAGTGCTGCTGGGGAGGTTCCTGCCACCTCCGCTGCACTCACCAGCCATGAGCCCGGCTCCTGGATGAGCAGCACCCCCCCTGAGGGAACTCATTGTAGCTCCAGGCCCTGGTTGGTGTGGATCAGTAGTTAGAGTGTCCTCCCACGCACCAAAGGGTCATGAGTTCGATTCCAGGTGAGGGCACATACACAGGTTGTGGGTTGCTTGGGCAACTGATCAATGTTTCTCTTTCTCTTTCCCTCTCCCTTCCTCTCTCTCTAGAATCAATGAAAAGAACATATCCTTAGAGGAGGACTTAAAAAGAAAAAAAA